GAATCATGATTCTAACTCACTAGCTCAGTCTCAAATTGTAGCCATATTCAGCCTCACCTACTTAATGAGGTTTCTCTTACAAGGGTCATACTCAAGATGCATACAGAATAGGAAGACTCTCATGAAAATATTGATCAGACGTACCTCAACTTTATTAAGATAGAACATTAATTAAAGTCAATTGTTTGATGTTATAACGGAAAAGAGAAGACAATTCAGCAAAATATGGAAAAATGCTGAAGTACCATGCCTTAGGCAACATGCTTGAAAAATGCTTTCTGCTTTTTCAACCACTTTTCATTGTCATACGCTCGAAATCCTCATCATGGACTAACCTATTACTAAAATCACAAACATTTCCAATAGATGCACATGATTATACTTCAGGTGTAACAATGACCAAGAACATACAAAATGGATAAAAAATTATGAAGAATAGCTGAATGAAAACATGGAGATGCCAGATATCAAATGACGGATCTCTAAGGACTCGCAACCGCAGCTGAGAGAGCAGTTCTCGCGCGAGAGCGCATAACGTATATCACCAATATTCAGAATGTCGTTCCAGATGAAAATGGGCAGATCAAAGACCAAGATACGTACTAAAAAGTGATTTAGCATAAATCGTTGTTGAAAGATTCATCTAACAAATGAACAGATAGTCTTTCTATCATGTGCTTGTGAATTATATGAAGTATAACAGAACCCGCTCACACCTTATATAAAACTAAGCTTTCAGCACATCAATAGGTGGCGAAGACAGTGTGAACATTCAGACATCGGTTAGCATCAACGAAAACTCTAATAATGTATGAGAATATGAGAGAACATTACTCTTTGACATGGGTAAGATCATTAGATAATATCTGAAAAATAATGATAATAAGGTTACTTCTCGAAAAATAATAGTATAAGTATAGCTAATGATAAGAGCGAGCACTACCGCGAGGCTGGTTTGGCTTAAGAGCTACCGAAAAATGGACGAGAAAGCGCGATAAAAAAGGGAGGTAGGGTTATCTCTTTAACTAGAAGAGAAGGTGAATCAGACAAATCAACGAGGTAGATAACAAAGGAATCTCCAGAAGGAAAATACAAGAGATAGTGCAAAGATTCGGTTAATGAAAGAGTTATTTCTATCACAAAAATGATATCCTTTTTCTTTAATGCCACCAAACTGGTAATATGTTATGGTGAGATCTGAGATATAGATGGACAGATATTCTACTGGAAATTGCACGCGAGAATGACGGGCACAAAGCATCCTGTGCATAGCCTACAACAGGATAGAATGCAGCTTAGATCTCCACATATGAGAACGCTTCTGCAACCACGCCTGTCCAAGAGTGCTGTACATAGAGACTCAAGAAATCTATCATTATAGAACAGCGCGCATCTTTTTAAATAATCTTCTTACCTAATAGTTGCTAATATTGTACTAAAATCTCGTTAGGCTGGTCCAGGTGATGATCCTTATTGAACGGACCCACCTCGAGCAGAAAACAGTCTCTCGTATTTTATAACCCACCTCACGTGAGGCAACATTAAAAACACTGACTGGAAGATGTGTAGTGGGAAGTATAAACACCTGAGAGCTTACTGCTTGGCGATAATTTCCTTGTTTGCTCTACCACAGAGAGAGATAGTGACAAGTACAGATACATGCAGACAAAGAGATCTACCTTCCTTAGCGAGCGAGATATAGATGGGGATTTAGCAGTTGAGCTACCATTCAGTTACTCTATGAATATACTATGTAAGAACCAGAGAGATAGACCTGTGGGACAGCTAAGACATATCAGAATACAAAACAGATAGAGGAAACTAACCTCTACAGGCCGAAGAATCATGATCCGGTATACGATGGCCACTCGTCCAGGTATTTCAGCTATCTGAAACCTAATATGATCAGCTAGAGAACTTGAAGTTCTGTGTCCATGACAACGATACTAGTTCCATAGGCGACCAGTTCTATCTCAAGTTCTATATTCCAGACTCTTCCTACCGTGCGTGTGTACTACAAAAACCTTATATTCTAATTTAGAGGTCGAGATAAGTCGCAGCTTTAACGTGATCACCAGCTGACATGAGCGCTCCTAAGGGAGGCTAAATGGGTATAGACCACAATAAATTATACAACTCTCTCTAAATTAGTAGGAATGCAATGTCATCACATGAACGCAGAGCAAAACAAAGACCACGATGATTCTTTCGAATAGATGCATAAAAAGCTCTTTGACACACATTCAACACCCCTTTCGATGATACGAACAGTTCAGAATAGTAGTATAGCTATAGGAGCATATGTAGAAGGGAGATACTATTACCCTTTTGCCTAAGAATTATATAGTAGTCGCAATAGTAGATCATATATGACAGACGTGCTTAGAGACCTAATTCCCAAGCTCATACTAAGAAGTGTGATATGCGAAGTGGATATAATATCATTTGATAAAGTCATTACAAACCCACTTACGAAAATCTGAGTTATATAAAGGAAAAGACTCTTCACAAGAGGGACACTTGCACCTGGTATCAAAATTCTCCACTTTTTCTTGCTCTCCTTCTCTCAGGATCTTGATACTTCAAGTGGAACATACACAGCTGGGTAGGCTCGATATTGTTGTTTAAGCGTCAGGTGAGCATGACCTGCTCATGGAGCTCTTCCAGTGCCGTCGGATACTCCAGGAAATGGAGGGAAGGTACCCAATATGAATGCGCGTGCAAGACAGGCCCAGACTGGTCTTCCAGCACCCTATAGATCATGCGAACGCGTTTGTCGGGAAAGAGGATGAGTATGTCAAAGGAAAGAGTGGGATAATAGTTTCATAGAGCGATAGATATCACGCGCGCTCAGACTAGATTTCAACATAGCAATTCCCCTTGTATATGGGATATCACCTGTCAGTAATAATGCGTGTAAGTTTTATCTAGTAGGGTCCCCTAGTGTCTTCAGTCACGCATTGACAAGGGGCGCGCAGGGCGTACTTGATACCTTTCTTCGGAAGAAAGGATCAGAGGCATTCAATACGCCAACAATAATTCTAATTGAGAACCAAATCAAAGAACTCAATTCCCTCACAATAGCAACAAAGAATTAAGATACCTAGAATGTACTAACCAAGGAGGTAAAAGACCTCTACAGGAGAACTATGAAACACCGAGAGAAAATAGCAGAGGATTAAACAGATGGAAATCCATTCCATGCTCCGTCGATCGCAGACTCAACATCATAAAATGTCTATACTACCAAACTGATCTACAGATTCAATGCAATACCTATTAAAATCCCATCAGCATTCTTCACAGATATAGAAAAAATAATTGTATGCTTCATATGCAACCAAAAAAGACCCCGAATATCAAAAGGAATTCTAGGAAACAAAACCAAAATGGGAGGCATTAATGTGCCAGATATCAAACTATACTACAAAGCTGTAGTAATTAAAATCAATATGTATTGCAAAAAATAGGAATATTGACCAGTGAACACATCTGGAGAATCCTGATATAAAACATCCTCATATAGCCATCTTATCTTTGACAAAGCAGACAAAAACATACGCTGGGGAAAACAATCCCTTTTCAATAAATGGCGCTCAGAAAACTGGATAGCCACTTGTAGAAGCTGAAGTAGGACCCACACCTTTCACCTCACAAAAAAGCTCACGCTAGATAACACACTTAAACTAAGGTATGAAACTATTAGAATTCTAGAGGAAAATGTTGAAATGTCTCCTAGACATCCGCCTAGGCAAAGAGTTTATGAGAAGGTCCCAAAGGCAATCACATTAGCAACAAAAAAGTAAATGGGACATGATCAAACTAAAAGCTTCTGCACAGCAAAGAAACAGTCTGAAAGTAAACAGACAACCTACAGAATGGGAGAAAATTGTGCATCCTATGCATCCGATAGGCGATAACTAAATATACTTAGAACTCATGAAAATCAGCAGAAAAATCAAATAACCTATTAAAAGAGGGCAAAGGACTGGAACAGAAACTTTTCTAAAGAGACAGATGAATGGCCAACAAAGATATGAAAAAATGCTCAACATCTCTAATCATCAGGGAAATGCAAATCAAAACCACAATGAGGTATCACTTAACACCCAGTGAGAATGGCCTTTATCAAAAGTCTCCAAATAACAAATGCTGCGTGGATGCGGAGAGAGAGGAACACTCCTACACTGCTGGTGGGACTGCAAACTCGTTCAACCTCTAGATACAAGTGAATCTACCATTTGATCTAGCAATCCCATTCCTGGCATCTACCCAAAAAACAATGACACTCTACAAAAAAGACACCTGCACTCGAATGTTTATAGCAGCACAATTCATAATTGCAAGGCTGTGGAACAAGCCCAAGTGCCCATCATCCAAGAATGATAATAAAATGTGGTATATTATACCATTGATACTATTTAGCTCTAAGAAACAATGGTGATATAGCACATCTTATATTTTCCTGGTTAGAGCTGGAACCCATACTACTAAGTGAAGTATCCCAAGAATGGAAAAACAAGCACCACATATACTCACCAGCAACTGGTATTAACTGAGCAGCACCTGAGTGGACACATGGTACTACAGTAAAGTATGGGCGAGGAGGGAGGGGGCGTATAGTAGCATACCATATGAGTGAGATATGCACCATCTGGGGGATGGTCATGCTGGAAACTCAGACTTGTTGGGGGAGGGGGAAAGGGCATTTATTGAAACCTTAAAATCTGTACCCCCATAATGTGCTGAAATTTAAAAAAAAAGTAAAAGAAAAAAAACCAAAGTTTTAAAAAAACCTCTATACCTCTCAGACAAATGATAAAAGTGTTTCTGGAAATAATGATATTTTGCAAAATCCCTCTAATATTAATAACAAAACAATGTACATATACTTTCTAATTAAAAAAACCATGAAAAACAATTTTTCTTGCAACTAAGATGAGAATACAACTAAGAACAAGTCACAGCCTAATAGAAATGGCATCATGAATAATTCTTACCTTTTTGGAATTTCACATAGCAGATTCTTACTGAAGTTAACAGAAGTGATGATGTTGCTTTTTACTGCATCAAACACTTCATCAGGAATCAAAGGTGTTTGTTTATCACTAAATGGAAAATGATTTTTAAAAATGAACCATTCTTAGCAGTTCAGAAAGATATGATTATTATTACTCATTTATAAAGTACTTTACAGATTTCATAAAATTTTCAAGGTAGTTGGTTATGAAGTTTTATAAAAACTGCCACAAAAATCTACCAACCCACAAAATGTTCACTGTTAGGAATTCAGACAACATACTGTGTTACAACACATTTTGCTACACCTTCTCGGCATTTGTATACTCAATGTAAATAAAAACAGACATATATCTTCAGAGCCTGAGATATCTGTAAATCATATAATAAATGGACAGCCCATTCCTCTACTTCTGAGTGAAACTAAATCTATCATTTTAAAAACAGGTTTTTGCCCCTCTTCTTAAAACTCTAATAAAGGGGCTATCTGTCATCTTTCTTTGAGTATATAGCTTGCTGCAAGGTAACAATTTTTGAAAGTTCAGCATTATACTAAACTAAGTTTAGTAACCTAGACCACTTTCTCTCTCCTTTAGTATGTGAAAAGGTAGTCAGAGCAGTGGACTGAAACTAAACTATTCCTAGATATACCATTAACGAGCTTTGTAATTTACTTTTCCTGAACCTAGCTTCTATAAAATTACAATCTAAAGAGCTATTGTTATATATACCATATTTTTTCAAATGTAAATATAAATAAATTTTGTTTTAATTAAAATTCTCAGTAAGATTTTCAATAAAATATAAATTAATCTTAAATGAAAAGTACAGTAATTCTCCATTATCCAGGGGGATACATTCTAAGACCCCCAGTGGATGCCTAAAACTATGGACACTACTGAACTCTATATAGTATATATTAATACTGTTTTTTTGATCTGATAACTGAGATGACTACTAAGTGACTAAGGGCCAGTAGCATATACAACTTGGATACACTAGACAAAGGGATGATTCGTGTCCCTGGCAGAATGGAGAGAGACCATGCAAGATTTCATTATGCTACTAAGAACAGCAGGCAATGTAAAACTTAGGAGTTGTTTATTTTTGAAATTTTCCATTTAATATTTTCAAACTGTAGTCAACCACAGGTAACTGCAACCATAGAAAGTGAAACTGTGGATAAGTGGGGACAACTGTATAGAAGTCTAACATTTGCAAATTTAATAATTTATTGATGCTAGTATTAGCCATTATCCTTACATTCTTTTTTTAAAGTTATGAATGCCTAACACAATGTTACCCACCTAAAAGAAAATTCAATGTAATGTCAATGAATGTATACACAAGAAAACAATATTACCTATAATACATGATATGGGAGAATCATGCAGGAAAGCCATCATAAAATGGGTATGTAAAAAGATTGTCAAAATTTCATAATTATTATGCCTTCTACTCTTATGGTTCCATTTTCTTCTGTGCAGATGCAGCATTTTCATTTTCTCAATCAGAAATGTTCAAGTCATAGGGAATTGATTTATGCTAATCCACTGGAAAATTTATGCTATTTTCAAAATTTAGTTGAAAAAGCATTTATGCCTTCAGATTGAGAATTACTTTATATTTTAAATAGAATATTCCTTTCCAATTAAAGTCTCTGAGAAAAATAAACTACAATAAATTTAAAATCAAAGCAACCTAAGATATATCTTTATTATGCTTCTGTGATATTTGTACCTTACAAAAGTGGGAATGGTTGCCCCAAATAAAATTGGGTCAATATATTTTATATATTGTCTACATAACTAAAAACAACAGCATATGTACCTAGTATGCCCAGCATAGAACAAAAACTCAATAAATGGCATCAATACAGAATGGAGGAAATGGAAGCCAGAGATAAATTCTAAGCCAAGAAAGTCTAGGGCAGGAATGAAGTCTGTTTCATTAGTAGACTCCAAAAATATCTACTGAATAAATAGGTATATGATGTGGAAGATAAGATATGCTAAGTTGCCATGCTATGTGAGAAGTAGTACACAAATATAAGTATAGAGTAACACACTACCTGTGTTCATGTGGCAAAAGGAACTTGGCTTAGAGTAGTGATTTCTACTAATACATATATCAAAGAGTGGCCGACAAGAGGTGAGAACAATGTGAATGAAATCCAACAAATAGGAAATGGAGACTATATCCTGTCTGCTAAGAAGGTGGATCCTATTGCTACATTAAGGATAAGAGGCCAGACACTGAACTGGCTGTATAGATTCTTGAATAAATCTAGTCACCTATTTAACCTATTCTTTTTTTATGTTCACTACAACATCTACCCATACATGAACTGATCACAACAGAAGCTTTAACAGCATTGCTTATTTTTATTATTGTTGCCATAGACAATACAGAAAGGATAACTGACAACTATCTTCAATCTTTATATAGGTTTCTTCTTTCCCCTAATTTAATATATTTCCATAACATATAAAAATGTTTAGGCTCTGTCTCAATTATACATTAACATTGTAAATGTTTCAGTTTTAATATATGTGCACATTACCAGAACACATTATTACTACGAAGTATTATTTGACTTATGTATAGATAAATTAGCAGGTACAATCTCTCAAGCTTTGTCTGCTAGTCAAGGTTTTAATTAAATAAACTTACTGACTAAAAAGACTCCCCTGATATAAAATTCTCTCTAGACACTGGTTACTGAATCAGAGAAGTTTATTATCAATATTTTCACTTTTTTATTATTTGTAACAATAAAATATTCTTATTATAAAAATATTACTATTAATGAAATCATCTATCACAAAAGGAATGGGCATTTAAATTCATTATACTTTTAATGCTTTCATTTCATCATTGTTTTTTGCAACAGCTGTTACTCTAAGTACTCTGATACATTCCTCCTTATCAATTTTCCTTTTTCTGAAGGGTTTTTTTTTCCTCTTAAGTTTCCTATGTGCTTGGCAATGTTTAAAAAAATGAATTACATACCTATAGTCTAATATTTTTAATGTGACGATGGCGTGTATATTGACTTTGGATTCACTTGGTAGTGTCATTGCAGTCTCAGTAACAGAGTCACTTTGGCTAGGTCCATCATCTGGCAAAAGAAAAGTTATATTAAAAAAAAGAAGAAGAAGAAGAAGAAGAAAAAAATAAATAAAAAATTTAAAAAGTTATATAAAATCAATAATTATAATACAAAATCATTTTAAAAATTCTTGGTAATATGTAAAAATAGTGTACATGACTTCTAGGTATTATTTGTGAGAATGCCTTCAGTCATGTTTTATTTCCCATAACTCAAATTTCAGTCTAGAATATTTAATAGAAAACAGATAAAGTTACTATAGTATGATTTCAAAACCTTTTAATATTACAATGTCTAAGAAAAAACCATGACAAACAATCCTTTTTCTTAAGCAAAATAATATGGTACACTAGAAGAAATTTGTTCACAAAGGAAAAATATTATTTTCCTCAAATATCTACCAAATAACCTTTTTCAATTTAGGATACAATGAAGATGATTATCCCCAATTGTTTAAAATTTGGCAATTTGCATAATCAAGTAAGCTTTTTGCACATTTTATCTGTTAAGAATTTTTCTTAGTAAATGCAAGACTTCATTTTCAATAGACATTTTCCTAACATGCACACATACTCACACACTGTCAACCACCTTAGTAATCTCTAGAGACGGTTTAACACTGCCATTGCATATTAAGAAAAAAAAAAGATACACCTTTAAAAGAAATGGCTTTGTGATTTTTTTGTGCAAAAAAGACTTGAACAATATAGAGACAAGTAAAATAAGACTATTAATTTTCAGCAATGTGAAAAAAAGAAACAGTTCCAGAATTAATGCAGAACAGTAGAAGGCATGCCAAAAGAAAACAAAGAATTAGTAGTATCTCTGATACTGCATCAGCCTAGTAGGCATTCAGTAAATATTTGTTGAATATTACTATGTATGTTTCTCTTGCATTGAGCTCATCAGTTATTCACTAATCAATGATTAAACTATTATGTCCCATGCAAATATAATATGAATCCTTTATTCATAGAAGTAGCACAAAATAAATGACAAAATATCAAATAGAAATAATAGACATCAAGGAAATATTAGTATCAAGTGAATGCTTTGGTATTTAGAAGTTCCCTAGTAGTTTGGTCATGTTACTTTAAAGAATATGTAATATATTGCCAAAACTATATAAGCAGAGAGACAGTATTAAAACAGCAACAAAACCCAACATTATTTTTTAAATATGTATGTATATTACCATGATTATATAGAGAGATAGAATATTCTCAACAATTTCCAGAGCTCCTTTTAATAATCAGCACCAAGGAGAATATAAAGTGGGAGATAATTTTCTCTGGGAAAGGATTGGTATGAGAGAGAGATTTATTTTCATCATATATCTTTCCATATTGGTTGATTTTTTTTTAACCATGTGCAGTTACTGCCTTTTTCATTTAAAGAAAAAAACCCTAAATAAAGAAAACCAAAAGTGCAAATTGAAAGGGCCCATTAAGTGCCAAACACAATAAATAAAGTAGAGCCACATCAAAGTATATTACTATAAAATTTCAGAAAAATGGCAACAAAGATCCTATAAGTTTCCAGAGAGAAAAAAAATCTTCATTGTGCAAATGACTGACAGAGTCAATCACATCAAGCAGGAAGAAAGAAATTTCTTTTCTTAAAAGAAATTTTAAGAAATTCTTGGCCAGGTGGCCGTGGTGGCTCACGCCTATAATCCTAGCACTCTGGGAGGCCAAGGTGGGCAGATCATTTGAGCTCAGGAGTTCGAAACCAGTCTGAGCAAGACCGAGACCCCATCTCTACTAAAAACAGAAATTAATTGGCCAACTAAAAATATATATATAAAATTAGCCGGGTATGGTTGCGCATGCCTGTAGTTCCAGCTACTCAGGAAGCTGAGGCAGGAGGATTGCTTGAGCCCAAGAGTTTGAGATTGCTGTGAGCTAGGTTGATGCCATGGCACTCTAGCCTGGGCAACAGAGTGAGACTCTGTCTCAAAAAAAAAAAGAAAAAAAAAAATGGAAGGAACTAAGTCAATACCTATTTTCTTATCCAACAAAGCTGGGGGTTTGAAGAGGAACAAACCTTAGGAAAACTACTAAATGTATTAAACCAGGCTTGTAGAGATCACAACCTCTAAGGACAGAATAGGTGGCTACAGAGAGAAAAGCAGGGAGTTCTTGGATAACATGTAGAGCTAGTCTGGCCCCTTAGAGAGCATCTGAGAGGGACTAATAATGAAATGGCCAAAGTTGGGTCCCCAGAACAGTCCCATCAGCCTTACCTAGGAACTTACTATAAATGCAAATTTGGGGGCTCCACCCTACTGAATCAAAAATGCTGAGAGTGGGGCCCAGCAATTTGTGTTTCACCAAGCCTTCCAGGTAGTTTCAATGAACACTAAAGTTTGAGAACCACCATCCTAACCATTTTTCTAGTCTGGCTTTTACCACACAAAAAATGATGAACATAAATCAGTTATACATAACCAGCAGCAATCCCTGGGTCTGGATCTAATTACCATAAATTTCTCATTTATCCCACAAACTGTTACTGTGCAGTGATTCTGTGGCAGTCACTGTACTAGACGTTAGAAATATAAAAATAAGACACTATGTGACAGACTATAGCCAGGCCTGCTGTGTATAGTCCATTCTAATCTTGACAACATAGAAATTATTGCCCAAGGACTGCTCATTAGTATAAGATTGCAAAGAAACTGAAAATATGATATCAATTCATTATTATATAATTTATGGGCATACATTATTTAATTTATGCCCAATTTATGGGCAGTTTTCTATGCTTGCTTTAACAAATTACCACAAATTTGGTGGTTTAAAAAGTGGTCCCCAACCTTTTTTTTTTCTTTTTTATTTATTTCGGCATATTATGGGGGTACAGATTTTAAGGTTTCAGTAAATGCCCTTTCCCCCCCCTCCCCCCTCCCCAACCTTTTTGACACCAGGAACTAGTTTCATGGAAGACAATTTTTACACTGACCCATGGTGGGGAGCGGCGGGAGGCGGGTGATGGCAAGCAATGAGTAGTGACTGTAAATACAGATAAAGTTTCACTTCCTTGCCGGCCACTCACCTCCTGCTGTGTGGCCCAGTTCTTAACAGGCCACAGACTGGTACTGGTCTGGGAACTAGTGGGTGGCGGACTGCAGGCTTAAAACTCTGAAATTTATTATCTGACAGTTTTGTAGTTCAGAAGTCTTCAATGGGTCTTACTGGGCTAAAATCAAGGTTTTGGCAGGTCTGCATTCTCCTCTCTAGGGAAGAATCTGTCTCCTTGCCCTTTTCAACTTCTATTAATAGTAGCTACCAGTATTCCTTAGTTCCTGGCCTTCTTTCTCCATCTTCAAAGCCAGCAACAGTGGGTTCTTCTCATATCCTATCATGCTGACCTCCTCTTCTGCTTCCCTCTTCTACTTTTAAGAATTTGTGTGATTACATTGGGCCAACCCATTTAATCCATGATAATATCCTTAAAGTCAACTGATTAGCCTTACTAATTGCCCTTTGCTATGTAAGATAACACATTTACAGGTTGCAGGGATTAGGATGTGGACATCGCTGGAGAGTCATTATTCTGTCTATCATAGGTAGAATAGCAAGATGATCCTAGTGACACAATAAGAAACTAAACTCCGAACACAGACATTCAAGCTCAGGTGATGGAGCTTGAGTAAAGGCAGTTTTCTGCAATCAAATACAGTAATTGAGCCAAGTGCCATGATGGCATAACTGGGGTATGCACACTTGCCTTAGTCCATTTGTGATACTGTAACAAAATACCACCAACTGGGTAATTTATAAACAATAGTAATTTATTTCTCACAGTTCTGAAGACTGAGAAGTCCAAAAAAGGTATGGCATTGGGTATCTGGTGAGGGCCTTCTTATTGTATCCTCACATGGCAGAAATGCTCCCTCTAACCCTTTTATAAGATTGCCAATCCTATTCATGAGGATGGACACCTCATGATTCAATTCCCTCCCAAAGGCTACAACTCTCAATACTATTGCAATGGGGATTAAGTTTAAACATGAATTTCAGAGGGGACACCATCATTCAGACCATAACAGAACCAATTTGGGTACTTCAGCAAGCTGCCAGGACCTCACCCTGGGCAGGCATAATATCACCACCACCACTGGAACACATCTCCCACCAGTAAGCTGGGGAGGCTATAAAAGCTGGACTCACTTAACATCTCCAGCTTGGGATGCTCTTACAAGATTCTTTGCTTAAACTCTATCCTTTGAGTTTATCACAAACTGTAATTAGTAAAAGATTTTCACGCCATATTTTATAAAGCTCAAATCTAATCCCCAGAAAGATATTTTATAAACAAAAGAAAATTTTAAATTATAGTCCACTGATATTTACTTAACATATTAATTTTTACCTGCAGAACAATAAACATATAAATAGACATCAGGGTTATTTGAAAGTCTGCGATAATCAAATAAGAATGTTTAATATAATACTATCTAGATGAATCAAGGACATTGTAGTATAATTCCACACATGTCACCTCATGAAATTTTGATCCTCAAAAATAAACCTCTCAAGCAAGTATTATTTTCACTTTACAGATAGAGATGTGTGAGTTCAACATAATAACACATCAACTAAAACCTAAAAAAAAAAAAATAATGATCATCTTGGAGAATCTGTGAAAAATGGTTTAAATACTATGGTTTTAGAAAAAGGCTGACTTTAAAAAATAAAAAAAATTTCAGAATTATATTTGTAGGGCAACTGGGAATTATAAATTTACTCTTCTTAACAAAGGATAAATAACAGTACATTGCAGAAAGTTTATCTAAATCCCAGGAGAGGAAGATCAAGATGGCCAACTAGGCACAAGTAGTATGTGCTTCCTCCATGAAAATGAACCAGAATAGTAAGTAGATACACACATTTCGAACAGATCATCTAGGAGAGAATGCTAGAATAGATCAGAGAAATGATGGAAAGCACCAAAAGGAAGCAAAGAGAAGGTTCAAGGCAGTTCTCCTGGCCAGGGACTAGCTG